GAATATAGAGGTCTGACCAATCCGACATTCCCTGTAATTACAATTTCCCGGAAACGGGTCTATTTTGGACGGTCCCCGCATCGTACCTGAACTAGTAAGATTGGGTTTGGTGAACGGTTGCTAAGTATCGATGCCCCCATGTCCATGTTTTACGAGTAGAGTGGATAATTCCCGCTATACTCTTGGGATTTCCTGTTCGGGGTCTCGATCGGACTCGGATTGTGCCGGGGAGGATTTTGGATGTTCTAGATCCAGGTACTGCAAATCGACCCTGAACTCCAGGCATAATGCCGGTTAATCCGTAGTTCTCGACCCCTGACTCATATGGACCTGAATCTTAACTTGCGGTTGTCGCACTACACACGAGCCGTTTATGAACGGGACCCTAAACCCGATACTGCAATATGGACCGGGCACATGGCTGCTTGTTTCAGGATTTTCTGTGCCAGCGTTGACACACCCCCTGCGCCCCGCTCTGTGGAGCGACATGGTGGCTCCTCCCTTACATGCGGTTTAAGCGGGCATGCCAAAGCTGGCGCATGCTGGCGCATTGCATGCCAAGTTTGGCAAACGGGGGAAGGTACCGTACCATTGTGCGGGGCGGTCAGAAATGCGGATAGGCCGCTCTGTTCAAGTTGAGGTTTGAAGTCATCTCAGCGTAGCTTTTTCGGCTGCCGCCATACTGCAACTGCCAACCCTAGACCATATTCTCCCTGAATCTTGATGCGGCAATTGTTGTTTAATTTGTTATGGCCTCGTGTTTGAGTTTTGTTTCGTTAGCCTATGTTGGAGGCCGGAAACCTTTATCCCAAAGCACCTTCAAGTCCCAACATGCCGTGAATGGGCACCTCCTATACTCCTTGTGGATGAATACTTCGATTACCATTAAGCCCGTGACAATCCTCAAAACTGCACCTTGCTGTTCCAACCACCACGGGTATGGGCTTTGACTGATCTGAAAAACCCAAGCCTGGGCCCAAACCCAAAGCAGCCAATTCCCTTTCTTTGTAACCGAGGAAATGCAAGGAGCAGGCCCTGGACTTCGACAAAGTGGAGGTGGCTGCTTGGCTGCCCCACATACTCGGGCCCCTTCCTTCGGCCCGCGGAATATCATGCTTAGGTGTCTTTGTTGGGGGATTTTGCTTTGCATTCAAGAGAATCCCGAACGCACAAGAGTGCCAAATCTTTTGGCGCCTTCTTAACCCTTCAGCCACGAGAGCACTGAAAACTTGTGAACTTGGAAACACACAAACAGTATGTACCCTGAGCCCTACTAGCTCCAAGTCCTCATCCGGGTCAGGTCGACATGGCCTTTCTGCACGGCTCACCTAAACTCGTCAAGCGCAGGTTCGTTGTTCAACGCAGGTTAAGGTTTTGTGGCGACCTTTTTGCATGGAAAAGAATTGGGCTTCTGATAGGGTTTACGAAGCCTGGTTTAGGGCTTCGGGTTTCTTGTGCAAACACATTTCAGGTTGGTGCCGAAGGAATTCCATGATTCCTCTTGGTCAGTGCATGCGGCCTTGGAGTTGAAATCTCCATGTGTTTGGATCTTCTTCGAAGCCCAAAAAACCGCATGTCAATGTAAGGCAAGACCAGCGAGAGAAAGCCAGGGTCAGGGACCGCAATAAAAGGTCAATCGGCCCGGTACCATCATGACCTGCGAGTTCCAAGCCCTTTGGCAAGACAGGGAGGACATCCGTTCGTCTTTGGAAAGAACGATCCCTAGACCCTGAGCGACCCTACACAAGCCCTAGCCTAAGCCGGGTTTGAACAAGTTCAGCCGGTTGTAGGCTTAATTGTGCTGCTATCATGCAGGCTTCTGAGGTCCCACCTCCACGGCCGTTGCTTCAGGACGATGCCTCAAATCATGGTTCGTTATAATATCACTCGCATGACAAATAGGATGCGGGGCTCTGGAGTAGAAATTTATCGGGTTTCGGTGTCAACTCATAGCGTGGTTTTGGAATGCTTTGCAACTGCAGCTTCAACCCTAAACCCCATGCCTCATACGCTCCACTCTGCACGAGAGGACCCGAGAAGTCTTGAGCAGGAAGAACCCGGGAGAAAGTTGTACATTCGTCGTAGACATGTCAGTTCAGCACACAAGCAGAGGGACGACCTAATGCTCCCCATTGTAAAGATCTTCCGCAGATCTCTCTGTTCACGTGCTTTCTTGGCCACCCATCATACTCGAGACCCTCACATTATCAATCGCAACTGCGACTACTAAATTAGTTTGCTTCGTGCGCGGGACATACGGAACCCGCCCCGAAACCAGGCGAGAAATACGCTGTACTTCAAGCCCAAAGGGGAGCTGTCGGCAGCTCCTGACAAGCCGGCCATTGAGTGTAGAAATACACGCTTCCTGGCATTTAGAGTTGGGCTTTTCGGGTTGAAGGTTCGCAATTTCTATTGGCATGTTGTTTGATTTGGAGGTGGCCGTGATACATGCTTGAGCAGCGATGTTGTAGGAATGCTATTCCCAAGTAGCTACATAAACTGTTAACCCTAAACCCTGAATTTATTCGCTCCTCCGCTTGGAGGGTGCAGGGTGCAGATTCCTGGGTTCAGGACTGCAGGTTTTGAACAGAAATCCGACTGAGGGTTTGGCTGGCAACCCATACTGTAAGTAGAGTCTAACAGTCCCGAGCTCGGTTGACGAGTCAGCTTGAGCCAGAAGCTGCGGCTTTCGGTGGTAGCCCTGAACCTCTTGCACCGAATCTCAAACCCGAAACCCCAAGGACCCTAATTCCCTGAACCTGGGTTGTCAGAAAGCCTTAAACGCTAAACCACAGTTAATCCTAAACGGCTTTTGTCAGCCCAGGCTTCACCTCCCAAGAGCAGTCTGACTTGGATGAAACTCTCATGGCTGCGATCGCTGCCAAGCATGCGCGAGAGAACGGGCTACAGTTCCCCGGTTGTGCAATTAACCATGTGGCTCATGCCCTCCCTGGCCCTCCTGGCCCTCCCTTCATTCTTCTTATTGTATTCACCCATTATCCTTCCAAGTGTCGCTTCCCTGATGATGAGGATGTTTATGAAGTAGAATAACAGAGAGTCGTGACCACAAAACGCTAGCAATTGCAAGGTGCCTAGATTACCGAAAAGCTCTTTGCACGTTGCCACAGGCTGGCAGACGTCCTCGCGAAGATGCTGAAGGAAACCAGCTCCTACCTTTCGCGAAGTCTGAACCCCAACTGCCCTAACTGTCAAACCCTGTAGTATACGGGGCCGCAACACGTACAAAATAGGGTTTCAATATACCATTACCAATTTCGCAGCACCTATTAATATGAGCTCAAGGCCTACACCAAAACCCTGAGCTTATTTGCGGGTTACGTCTAGTGCTTGTAGGTGTAGACACCCAACCTCATACTTTTGTACCCGCTGGACCCGCTAGACCATGGAAGTTTGAAGATACGCTAAAGACGTGAAGCCGAAGGACTCAAGAATAAAGCCTTGCTTGCCAGATGTACTTACCTTTCTTATTGAAGTCCGTCTCAATACGCCAGGCCCCGATTGTGGTAGGCCAGGGTCTAAGCCATATACACTCTTGACATGGCCGTGAGCCTGAAAAGCGCAATGAATAGGGTTCTCGCGCGCGTGCCTGTGCTCCGAGGTAGTGGGTGTGTAGGCTCACAAACTTGCAAACATGATTGAGTGGTCTAGGCAGGCCTTTAGGCAGGCCTTAGGTAGCTTGCTCGCAAGAAAAATGTTGCGACATTCGTCTGGCAGGTCTTGCTGGCTCTTGGCTGGCTCTTGGTTATTGCCTGAACGCCTGAACAATACCCAACTGTGATTCCTAATTGGCCATCCTCCCGTGTTGCCAGCCCTTACAGCATCCCGCAACTCAATAATCTCGGGGTCTCACCGTAATATAATTCAGGCCATATGTACCGGACGTTCTCGCAAGTCGACCGTGGCTGTGCAGGGGTATGTTTTTTGGTGATATTCATGTCGAGGAATCCTTGCAGGGAATGCGATTCTAATCATTAAAGCCCCTATCTTTCATCACCTGAACTAATCACTCCTGAGCATCCTGTATGATCCTAGCATAGTAGACTCCGAAACCCCAAACCTTTGGGGCGAAGTTCCGGAACCGGAAAGTCAAAGCAGGCTCCGGAAGCTCGAGACGTAGACCTCCCCCTGGGCCGATAGATCTCCGACCCCGCGACCCTTCTCCTGCAGGACGGCACCTTTTCCGTCGCAGCGCTCCACAACTACGGTCAGCTTCGAGCTGCTCCTGGGATCGGGTTCCAGGGGCTTTGTTACAAAGTCGGCATAATGCGTTAGTATTTCGGGTTGGGCTTGAGGTTTTAAGATTTAGTACAACGCGGGGAGAGGGGGTTGAGTGTTCAGGTTTGTCATCTGCAGGGATCATATTTTGGTTTTCATGGAATGATCGCTTTCAATCCAGCCACAACCTCTACAACAGCGTCTTGAAGGTTACTTACATTACCCAATTACCTACAGAGTAACCGAAGTAGCGTTAAACTGCAGCAAAACACGGTGGGGTCGAGTGACTTCCGCTTTTGACTGGCATGGTAGCCTCAATTCAGCCTGAAACCCAAAACTCGGCCCGTGAACCCTGAAACTTAGCGAAGCAGCCAAGGTAGGTGGGCGCCTGGAGACGCCAATCAACCAACAACGGAACCCACAGGCGACTTGCATCATCGGCTCTCTTGAAGAGTACCGGTAGGTACATGGTTGTTGTTCGACAGGCCGCAGCCCTTCGCCCTAAGCAGAACAAGCAGTGGCCCGTTTAGAGTTCTGGGTTTGGTGTTGTTTCTGTGTTACGGCTTACCTGCACCCTGAAAGTTCGATAACCCTACGAGCACCACCCTTGCAAGCTCTTACGAAACCTAAGGCTGTGTCCCCACTCATGGCATTCAAAAAGCTCTTGCTCGCTCCCCATGATGGGGTAGATCAAAGACTGCAGGGTTTAGCTCCCTGTCACAGGAGCCCGAGTCTAGAACACGCCGTGAACACGCCGATCCACGACATGTTTTTTGTTTTTAGTGGGTCAAGGGCTTTAATGCTTGTGGCTTTGGCAGTTAGCGCTGTAGATGTGAGGCTTGGATCTTCAAGTTTCATGATGTCTGAATCCTGAAGGGTCCGTGTAGCCATGCCGTATATATAACAAGCTGGCCCTGAAGTTGTGACATGGTTTCCAATTGAAGACCGACGTATTCAGCTTATTGGTACGTGGACACTTAGCGAGCAAAAGGGGTCTTGGGATTTCGGCTTGCACGTTTTGCAGTTTCAGGGACGGACGATTGGCTTTGAGGTTTTTGGGGTTTATCTATGGAAGCTTTCGGTCATGCTACGCCCGAGATATGACCTAATGGCCTCTCAACCCTGAGACCTGAAGTCCTGTGAGCCCAACAACGACGTGTTGATTTCAGCTTGTGCAGGCTGGTAACTTTAACTTTGTTAGCACGCCGGCGATGGCTCCTGGTGACAATGGTGTTTCTCCGTTTATGACTTTTGGAAAGATCGTGCTCTGTCCGCAGCAAGCCTACTGCATGTCGTACAGGGTTCCAATTTGGCTCGGGGGTGTTAAATTGTAATTTCTGGCGGGTTGGCGTGTCCTCAACTTCTGCATGCAGTTCTGCAGTTCCCGGCAGGAACGGTTACCAACGTTGGTAGCTGTAGTATTTCCGGTTTCGGGCATCGGCAGTGCAATTGCAAACCTAAGCAGTATGGTGTAGCTGGTGTTTGCGCATGCATGGGGGACCAGATTCTTAGCTTCACGGCTTCCATGTGTTGTTTGTGCGTGTTCCCATCAGTTCTTTCAACCTGTGTGTCTGGAACCGTGCTAAGACAAGGACTTGTAATACAGCATTTCACACTCTAACGGCCTCGCCTGCAGTATCCGTCGTCACTACGACGAAAATTCAATCAGCACCCTGACATACCAGTCCTTTCAGTTCAGAGCGCAGGAAGCTGAGGTTGAGGTTTTGCGGAGTTACAGCATGCTGCATGATTCCAGAGCCTCAAAAATCTTGAACCTTCAGGAACTGACATGTTGATCCTTCCCCCACTCGTAGAAAGAATGTGCCAAGAGATGTGGTGAGTGCTGGACCTGCGAAGGCAGTGGGCACGCAAAAAGGTTCTGTAACCCAAAGCACACACAAAACCAAAGCCCCGAACGACCATCCCTATACCTTAAAGTGAGCTCCAAAAAGTTGGAGCATGGGCGCAGTGTTACAGGACAGGCGACATGATTATCATGTTCCGACTTTCTGTCTTTCTAAACCATACTTAAATACTATAGACCCTAAACCCTAAAGACCCCAGTCCCACCGCCTGGAGCCTGTATCGTTCCTGCACAGACATGTGGAGCACTTTGTAGCTCTGTGCCTAGCTGGTGCTCTGATGCTGCTGTTTGCCACCCACATAGCTTCTGTGTAGCTCTTTCAAGCCGCTGCACTCCAGTAATTCGAGATGTTGTAAACCATATCATGTCATATGCTCGTATACATACTATATCGTATCACATCTCATGAATAAGTTATCAGATACCACACTACTACATTCTATTCTATTCTGCCCCCTTCCATCATCTCAGGTTACAAGTTTTATTGCATCTTATATTTCGTTAAAGTCTGTCACGAAGGCCTAGAGCCGAGGCATCAACCCCACGGCTCCTGGAAGAAGAGATCGGACCGAGCTTCCGTGTGGCCGAGGACGCCGATGCTTTAGCACCTTTAGAGGGTTTAGGGTGCAGGGTTAGGGTAGTGCGTGTTAAGCGTTTGGGGGTGTGCCATTGGGTTTTTGGAGTATTTTGTTGGAGGGTTCAGGGTTCGGGATTTAGGGCTTGGTGTGTGCATCGACAAGTACCGATTTTCATCTGTGCGTGTTGCTTTGCGTGTCTCGAGTTCGCAATGTCGCTATGCATGTCTCACGTTCGCAATGTCTCTCTTTCTCTCTCTCTCTCTCTCTGTGTCGTTGCTCCTCCTCGCTTGTCGCCTCTTTGGGGTGAGGGTATTGAGGTTTGGGGTTGAGGGTTTCGAGGTTCAGGGTTTTCTCGGGGTTTAGGCAGGGTCTGTAACACAAAATCCCAAAACCTTGAATCTTAAAGGGCTCCGGCGTTAATCGGAAGACCACTATGGGAGTGATCCGGGATGGGCCTGAAGGTTGTAGATGTTGGATTGCAGGTTCAGAGGTACACCGTTTTGTTGTGAAGGAGCGGACATCTCAAATGCACATAAAACAAGTCGCCAGTCTACAGTGTTGGGCAGCAGATTGATGGGGTTTCCGGGCCCCTGAGTCGTCCACATATGGTTCTATTCTATATCGAGCGTGTCTACAAGATGTGAATAATTGAATCTCACGTCAAGGCTTGGAATCTACGCCAACGGGCCAACGTGACCCCGACCCCAAACCGACTTAACGCAACCTGTTCGAACCAACCAACTGGCTGCGACCAAGGAAGTCCCAACAATCATTGCGAGCTCATGGCGCAAACCTCAAGCCCCAAACCCTAAAGCTCAACTTCCCTCCAGGGAGAGCTGGCAGAGACGCTCCAAGCCCTCTGCCCTGACCCCCTCAGACCCCAAATGCTCAACCTGAAAACAATGCACAGGCTGGAATCCTTAAGAACTGAAGCCTTAAGCCCGAAACGCCCAAAGTCTAAACTCTATATACTATAGACTAGACGTTAAACCTATAGCAAACCATACACGAGAAGTGGAGGAGTCTCCTCGGGACCGTGCTGCGGAGAAGCTCGCGCGAGGGGCCATGCAGCGCCAAAGAGAGTCGAAGCAGAATTCAAAGAAGGCAGCGGCAGAGCTGTGAAGAAGGTTCACTTTTGCTAAGCTTTTGAACATAAAGGTGTTTGAAGCGCGTTGACAAGGGCTGTTGTGAGGGTTTCCGGTTTATGACGGTTCTACGACCATAAGGCCCATCTGCATGCCTAGGATGTAATGCCGGTAGTGGATAGCTGGAGGGCCCAGGTTGTTGCTTTTGTTTCTGGAGTTGATTGTTTGAGTGAGGGTTCAGGATCCCAAACCCTTAGTCCGAAGGCGTAGACTGGCAGAGTTTTCGGGACGGTGGCAAGTTGCCGACTGTCCGGTATGGAGATCTGCGCAAGTCGCACACTAAGACAGGGACCAATGATTCACAATTGTCGTTATAAACTTATGACCCTATGTACTTACTTGCACAGGTTTACATACCACGTATTCTATTGGATCGGTTGAGGGCTGGAACGGATCCGCACAGCTGCCCGACGACCGCAGAGGAAGAACCCTGCTTTCGCTATCTATCTGTCGCTTACCTTTCTGTCTACCTATGTGTCTGTCCATCTATTTGTGATTGTGTCTGTCTGTCTCGCGCTCTCAAAGTAGAACCGCCTACGCTCCATCAAATATTGAACGTTGACTCCAGCCCTTTGAAAACTTGGTGCAGCCTTTTCTTCGTCATTACGCAGGACTGGGGCCTTCAAAAGTTATTAAGTATTAACAAACATTACCAAAACAGACCTCAGCGCCAAGATGCCATCCCCATTACGGCTCTTGCGCCCAGTTTATTGGTGCAGCATTTTATGCGCAGACCCTGAGTAATCCGATCTTCAATGTGCGATGCGGTCTGCAAGTGCTATAGGCCCGCAGCTCGTGCCCCGGGGCCCCGACATCCGGAATTTCGACAGCAGATTGCCGAAGCCTAAACGTTCAGCCCGAAAACCTAAATGCCCATGCAACATACAACACTATAGCCCTTAGCCCTAAACGAAATCGTCAAGAGAAGACTAACAATGGAAGAATCGGCACCAGGAGCGCTTGAAAGCTCTTGGGCTGACTCCCAACGCATCTTTGTCATGAACAGGGTCTGCGTTTACGGCTTACCTGCTTGTGGGTTTGAATTTTATTGCCCGTGCATTTCTTTGGATGCAACGCGGCATGGGGCATTGCAGGGGTTCGTGGATCAGGCTTTGTGCTTGTTTTCTCAACTGCCAGATCGCTGCTCCCCACTTTTAATTTCAAGTGTGGCAGTTGGAAACCCTAGACTCTGCAAACATACCGGCGTCCACAGTCAGCATTGCTATTCCCGATGAGCCTTGTATTGTATATGAGATGCCTGCTAATCTGTGCCTTCCTGACCGAAGCATCTTCATCTCGACGAACTAAAGTAGAAGCCAGAAAGATGAAACATCAGAGTTATCATGGCGTTAGTAGAGAGAGCCCCAACCCGAATCATCCACAGCCCACATGCTATCTGCTGGGAGTTTAGAGGTTTTGTTCAAGGTGCTTAGGGTTCACAAGGTTTAGGCATGTAGAATATAAAGACGACAGCCTCAAGCCCGGCCCAGAAGCTGTATTCTCCGAATTTTGCTTGTGCCGCGTGCCGGGCCTTGTTTAGTGTTTAGGGTTGCAGATTCTGGGTCACTTGGAGCAAAATCCGGCCGGCACATTGAGCAGTGCCGTGTTCGGATATTCCTGTTATACTAGGGTCCATTGCTTGATACGAACATAAAACTCCTTGCTGTTTGTGCCATTGCCCGCAACCTCGGCCAGTGTTGAGTTTGACTGGCATTCAATTCTGGGTTCTTGTCTCAAAGTGAAACATGCCTCTGAGATCATCCTGCAACCTATGAACAGGTGTAAGTCGTACCAGCTTCCATCAGCCAATACCCAAGACTCATTGTCCCACGTGTGTCTGCCCGAGGCCTTGTGCATCCTAAACCATGCTCAACACACCCTGGACCCCGTAGAACACTTCACAGAGCCCTTAATATTACAGACCCCTCATGGAAGCGTCACCTGTTGGACAAGGCCAGCCCAGCTTCCGTTCGGACGACCCCGGCGTCTGTGGCTTCGAAGGTGACGCCCATGACCCCCATCGGACAGCTTCTCGTCGGTGTGTTGCCAAAAAGCTTAAGGGTTCTTCAAAGGATTCCATACGAGAAGGGTTTAGGGCTTGGTGTTGGGGATGTCCAGGATTTGTTCGGAGAGAAGGGTCCAAGGCTTTGGAAGGTTGTCTTTTGATTCCAATGTGGGTTTTTGGTATGGGATATGAGGTTCAGGGGCTGGGCTCTCTTATCAGAAAAAATATGTGCACCCAGCTTACGGAAGCATTTTTTCAGTCGTATGTGTTGACGTTCACGCATGCATCTCTGCAGGTAGGCATGCATGGATGCATGAACGTACAGATGGATGGATGGATGGATGCACGGATGGATGAATGGATGGATGGATGAATGGATTGAAACGGAATGGAATGGAACGGACTGGAATGGCATGGCATGGAACGGGACGGAATGGAATGGATGGATGGATGGATGGATGGATGAATGCTACAGATGTATATGTATCTATGTACGTTTGTATGTATGCATGCATGCATGCATGCATGCATGCATGCATGCATGTATGTGTATGTCTGTATGCCTGCATGTCTGCATTTATGTATGTATGCATGCATGTAAGTAAGTATGTATGTGTGTATGTATGAATGCATGCATGCATGCATGCATGCATGCATGCATGCATGCATGCATGCATGTATGTATGTATGTATGTATGTATGTATGTATGTACGCATAAGGAGGTCAAGAAGGGCTTCCACCGCTGCAACCAGTGCTTTTCGCTTTTGACCCCGTCCACACATGCACTGGCAGCAACGACAAGCTGACAAAGAAGCCACAGGAGTTGAGAGATGCTCTCTCGCCGCATCCTTGCCGCCACCATCATAGCTTTTGCTAGCAGCACGAGCACCATCATCACGACGAAGTGCTGCAACATGCGAGCATGCCTCGAGGTTGCTCCACCGTGCGCAACGCATGGCGCAGCGAGGGGGTCGACTGCGTATCGGTGCCAGCCGACCTCCGACAGAGGAGCGGGAGGCAGCAATTGCAGCTTTGCACGGGTGCTTACACTTTCTTCGGGGTCGCCTTCCGGATTCGAGATGAAGGCTTTCGACCGTCAGGGGGTATTTAGGAGCTACAGCGTCTGTTTACGAGTAACTTGAGGGAGTGAGGTGCTCTAGAACCTATAGTGTCTAAGATGAAATTGCTTAGGCCCTCCCCCAGAACGCAGATCCACGGGATCTAGTTACCGTGTACAGATAGAGAGCTAGCTACATATAGGTAGAAAGAATAACGTGACAGAAGACCCTGGTGAAGGCCAAGAGACCGCGGACAAACTCTGCATCCCTGTTGCAAGACGAGTTTTGCGAATCAGGATTGAGGGTGTAAGGCCCTTGTCCCAGGCTACGCGTTGTGAATATATTGAGACTTGTATGGTGCAGTAGCTAGCGCTTGGTTTCAAACTTGGCCTGTTGGGATCCATGTCTAGGGTGTGACCTAGGTCCGGTCGGAGATGCAGCTTGGTGCTTGTTTTGTGCAGGGGTTTGAGATTTTCGATTTTTGGTCAGGGTTCTGTGCACTCTGAAACCTCAAACTCTAATCCCTAATTCAAACATGCAGTCTATAAACACCCGAACCCTACAGCGCAGCCGAGCTCGGCCCGATGAGTGGGGCCTGATCCGAAAAGCCTAGCTTTTCCGTGGTAACCACTCCCCAGACTGCGCACAAACTCAATAATTTGGCTGCACTTATATCGACAACTGGGCACATGCAAGCCTTCCGGGTGCAAAGCAAGCACATGTGTGCACGTAGTATGTACAGCAGTGCCTACATCGACAGACACCCGGTTGACAAGAATGACCCTATAGAGAACACATGACTTTCTGTGTTGTATATTCCTATATGTACAGCATTGCCTATATCGGTCGACAAGAATGAGCCTGTAGAGGGCACAGGCATTGCCGGTTTCCATGTTGAATATTCCTCGCGTTCTTCCACATGCTCAGTTTCCCAGAACCTTCGGGAACTTTGACCTCAGAAAGACGAAAAGTGTTCAAAAGCCGCAGTTGTTCACGAAACTGCGTAAGACAGTTTTCCGGTCGTCGAAGTTCGATGGTACGAAGATGTGAAGAAGATGTGGCAAGCTTCTGGAATCTAGGCAACTCGGACCGAAGCAAAATCATTGCCGCAGACATGCTCATTCGTCGTAGATGTAGACTTACCGTTACCTACAGTGGCAGTGGAGTCCTTCAAGCCTTGTAGAAGGCTAACGAGCATCTGTGCTGAAGATCTCCGGTTCTTGGGCCGGCCTAGCTTTCTCCGAATGGTGCAAATGTTGTTCGTTTTGTGGACTTGTCGCTGCTTGAACGGTCTGTATAGCTGGAGTTAAATCAGTTTTTTTCGGGCTTAGCTTTGCTGAATAGCGCCTTTCTAATAGTTTAGTAACCATTGCGTTTCCTTTCAGATTTCTCTTGGTTTGTCATTGCCCTGACATGTTTCGGACGTAGATTTTCCAGTTACCGCCTTTGGTGTGACAATGTTTCCTTCAAGGTCTTGTAGCCCGAACCCTAGACTCAATACCGTAAACCTGAGCCCATGCGAGGTACAGAAGTCAAGGCAGTCTGGCATTCCTGCAGCAATGATGGCCGACCTCTTGTAGATTAAGGGTTTGGGATTCGATGTTTAGTGTCAGGTTTTCGACGACAAAATTTAGGCTTCCAGCCAATAGGATTGAGATGGTAAGAGTAAAGAACAGTAAAGAGGAAGAAGGGTGAGCAGACCACTTGCCCAGACCATGAATTGAAACACCGCAACCCCAACCCTTCAAATCCCAACCTCCCAAGATTCCACGTGAAAGTGCCCAGATGCACCCAAGTTCCCCCCATGTCTCACCGTGACGACAAGCTCTGCTGGACTCTTGTTTCGCTCTAGGCTCCATGAGTTGGTTTGTTACCCGAATTGCACGGTTCAGGACGCCGTCTTGGTCTTGCACCTATAGAGCATTACAGATACAAATGCTACGCTCGGTCTGCAGCGGCACATTCCCTCCCACCACTTTTGCCGAATCCAGCAAGTTGTGTTGTTTAAACCTCAACGAAAATCAACCTCCCTTGACCCGATACGCCAAACGAGTTTTGGATTGCGGCATCCGGGGTCAGGAGTTCGTCACAACGAGTCTTTTCGTCATCGCGAGTAGCTAATTGCGGGTATGTGGTCGTGAGGGAGCTTCATCAAGAAACAGTAGTAGCAAGAGTGTTCCTCCCGCATCCAAGTGTTCTTTGAGCATCGCAGGGTCCAGCAAAGTGTGTGCGACCCTGCAGGTCCTCGAAACATGCGTGATGTGCTCAATTGAATTTCGGATTCCCGCTAGCATGCCAGACGAGGTTGCGCAGGTACGCGAGGTTCAATCTCAGGAACGAGTAGGACCATGCCTGTGTACCATCTGTATACACCGACAGAGAAGTGATCAGATAGGCAGACTCATCATCGACTGATGTACATCCGCACAGAAACACAAGGCACATGCGGAGAAATCTCTGTGTGTGTATATAATATAATATAGTGTGTGCATGTATATACGTACATATATTTCTGTACATATATACATATATACATATATGTATGCATATCTGTTTATGCAGACATACAACCATGTGTACATACATGTAGCTGTACATAGTACAGATAAGACAGTATTTACACATAATGGTCTGTCTGTCTGTATGTCTGTATGTTTGTATGTCTGCACTGTACTGTACTGTGCTGTGCTGTGCTGTGCCGTGCTGGGCTGTGCTGTACTGTACTGTACTGTATGTATGTATGTATGTATGTATGTATGTATGTATGTATGTGTGTATGCATGTATGTATGTACGTTTGTATATAATGTATAATTTGTCTGTCTGTCTGTCTGTCTGTCTGTATGTATGTATGTATGCATGTATGTATGTACGTTTGTATATAATGTAATGTCAGGTAATGTACTGTACTGTACTGGAATGGAATGTATGTGTGTATGCATGCATGCATGTATGTATATATGTGCACATGCAAGTAATGTAAGCATGTATGCATGTATGCATGTATGTATGTCTGTACATGTATAGAGATATACACATTGACACGAACAAACAAAAACAAGCACAAGCACACACACACACACGCGCGCGCGCGCGCACGCGCACACACACACACACACACACGCACACACACATCTGGTTGTGATAGCGGCTATTTGTGGCACGGGGGGTGTCAGGTGGTGTGTACGGTGTGGGATTTTGCGCGCTGTGGACTCAGCTTCTGGCGCATCGCTGTCCTCCTTGGCCAATCGTTTGATGTCCCAATTGCTTTTTTCCTTGAGCCTGAGAACTTGACACCACCCCCCTTAAACCCTGAATGTGGGCATCCCTTATGTTCAGCAGCCTCATAGGTCAGTGCGCGACTTTCGAAGTTCCGTCTGCTCAGGGTTTGACCAATCCTAGCCTTCAGAACAGCCCGTCTTACTGTTTCAGCTTGGGTTAAGGAGTTAAGGACATGTCAAGTATGCCAGCGACAGCTTCTTGCGAAATCGAACCTGATGTGGCCGTTTCGGGTCCAGCGATCACGAGCTAGAGGGTTTGGATGCTGCAAGGCGCTTCGCAAGCCGAAACCCATAAGCTGACTTCGGCCTGGAATTTCGGGCGACAGGTTCGACTAGGCTGCGCTGGATGTAGTGCGAGGACTAGTGGGGATTACAGAATTCACTTTCAGTTCTCTCTTCCCCACAATTCGATGCTGGCCCTAGATTGCCAGCTCGACTGAGTTGGAATTCTCTGCTTCGGGTACGTTTGGCGCTTGCACTTGCTGCCAGAGCTATGGATCTGGAGAAGATGAAACGAGTTCACTGGGTTTCCCGGCCACGTGCGAGAGCGTTGCCACTGACAGCAGCGCAAAAATAGAAGTAGAACTGATATGCAGAAGTCGTCATCTTGGCAGTGGTAGTAGTAGGAGTAGCAGTAGAAGCAGCAGTGGCAGTAGTAGTATCACTGCGGCAGAGTCGTTTTTCCTGACGGTTTTGAGGCATGGTCCGAATCTCGAGTGCTTTTAATAAATGGAGCCATTCATTAAGCTGTTTCAGACTTCGGGAGCTTCGGGCATTGGGTTTGGGAAGCTTCCGGCTTAAGGGCTTAAGGTTTCCGAGCAAGGGGCTTCTAGCGGGCGCATCTGGCGGGGATTGAAAGCTGGGTCGGCCTGAGTGGGGCTCCAGCTCCCTTCGTACCGAGTCTCCGTCCACCTTAGCGCGTCAGCACCCGGAGCGCCTCAGACTTTACGGCCTTAACAGTTGCCGAGAGCCGTAGGACACCAGAGGCTTTTTCACGTGGCTGGTAGGGTTTCATGGGTATTTGGCCGGCATCTTGAAATGTTAAGCACCAGGGGCAGCTAGAAAGTAGGAGATTCAAAAAGCGTCAAGCAGTCATATTTGATCCTGGCTGGTCTACGAGCCGAAACCCCAAACTCTTGCACTGCGTCCATCCAGTCCATCCCGTAAAGCTGAAAACCCCTAAGAGTCCGTGCAAAATCCTTACGAACCGGCAGAGGTGTACACCCTAGACCCCGAATTAAGCTTAAAGGCTTGGAAGCCCTACAGGCCTCAAGCCCCACTCATCTACATCATAAGCCACAATTAATCCGCCCTCAGCCACAAAAAAACAGGTTCCTTTGGAATCCAATCCCGAAATGCTCACCGACTTTGCTCAAAAGGCCTCGCGGTTCAGGTTCGGGGTTTGCGGGTTGTTTTGTGTGCAAGATGTGTGGTGTGACATGGGCTTTGGGATGCAGGGCTGAGTTGCTGTTCTGAGATCTGGCACGGTTCAGACATGTTTGTTGCAGTGTCTTCGCTTGAGAAGCCGTGACCTCTGTTGTGACCGAAGCGTCGGCCATACGCCGTTTGTTGGCTCATATAGGCGTTCGGAATGATCAGTTTAAATAGTATGTAGTCCATAGCAGCTCCGAGACGAAGTCTAAGCCCCATCAACCGAATCCCCAAGCCGGAAGTGCTAGACTGCCATCCCTAATCAACCCTTGAACCACAAGCCCCTTGAAGAACTCTGCAGAAAACTTCCAGAAACCTCAAAGAAGCCCGCAGACCAGCCCTAATAGAAACCCTGTGAAGCTCTAAACCTGAACCCTGATCCATGATCCATCGGCTGAAAATCCACGATCTGTGAGTCGTAAGGCCTCTAAAGACGTGACAATGTGTATTCACATTCCCTGGCCGTCTGCTCTATCAATGCGTTTATGGGTTTCCCGAAGAGGGATTTGGGGAGTTACAGTCCCTGGCTCTCTGCTGCGCTCGTTTTCAAA